GTGAATGGATGTTCCATGTGTACTCCACTTTCCTCCTCCATGACAGATGCCTCATGGATGGAATTGTCCAAACATTAAAAAAACACACGGGACTCTCTTGAAAAAGCGAGTTCCTTATTGAGACGACGTGCAGCTATCCTGGGCAATGGATAATATTGTGAGTCTTATTGTAGTGTTGAACAGTTCAACGCTGAGAATAGAATTAACAGCATATACAAATATGTGCCATTGCATGTACAAGAGCTTAGCCTTGGGAAATGTTTTTGTTGTTGTTGTGTCTCAGACCAAGGACTCAATGCGTTGAGAAACTGTGGCCAACCACGTGGTCGCAATGGGACTTCTCTGCTGCCACCTGCTTTCTCGTCATTTACAGCTCTGATATTTTCAAGCTGAAAATGTGTTCAAATAAAAATGGTGAAACAACACACTCGGAGTTACAGTGAGAGACTGGCGGAAGACCTCGTGGATATGAGAATGCATGCTAAATTACGGATCTCGTATTGAAATCTTACGGAAGTGGGGGCGTGCTGATGGAACAGCGGGTTAAAGCACTATTGGTGATGGATGGGAACGATGGCAGAACGGTTTAGCCAGAGGAACGAATGTTTTTGAGAGAGGACGACCACCACGGAGGATATGGAGTGATGAGATGAACTCGCGTGCAGGAGTGAGATGGTACGTGGCATCGTAAGACCACGAGGTATTGTTGACGCTTCAGGGAGACCTTCAACCAGCGATGGACAGACCATAGCTCATGATGATGATGATTGTTCAGACAATCCATACGAGTCCAAAAATAGGACGACCATTTCAGTAATTACTTTACATTTCTCGTGTAGAAGTAATATTTGAGCGACGGTAACAAAGGCTCGGGAGGACCGCAGTGACGGTAGTATTCAAAGGATGCTGTGGTCTAATGCACAGGAGTGCCTGTTGGTGGTGCCTGTAGGGGGCAGTACTGAAATCCTGTGGAGAGGGGGGGGGGTCTGATAATCTCCAATTTTACACGTGGGGTTTCTCTTGGCACTGGTTAAATACTCAAATAAATGGGCAAGGCAGGACCCCTAGTTAAAAAAAACGGTTTGGGAGACTCGGTCGTGCTATATACTGTATTTGTGTTTTGAGGCCCTATTATAGCTCACATTTCATCACGACAATCATCATCATCAACCATGGTCACTTCACTCCTGCACAAAAACCTCCCCAGGCCACCGACAACCCTCGTGATTCCACAATGCAACAACCTACGCATGATGAATCCATCACTCCATCTCCCCCGTGGACGTGATTCTTGGATGAACAGTATTCCCTTCCTTGACTTTCACTCCATCAATATGTTTGGCCATTGGCCATGATCCCATCTAAAACGACATTTTACATGAAATTAAAATTCCATATAAAATGTTGGAATTAGAGAAGTAATATTAATCAATATGTTCTGGAAATTATCCTTGGTAAATGAAGTAATGATATACAGTATGTCTGTTTTATATGCGTTTTAATTGACCATACTAATATTATAGTACTATGATATCATATATACAGTGTGCCTGTATTATATGCTTTTAATTGATAATACTAATATTATTATAATACTATGATATACTATGACATAGTACTAGTTTACTTTAAACATTTTAATCATAGCATTATGATGGCATTGTCATGTCAGTTTTATGATCCGTGTTTGTGACGACACATTTGCAATGATATTTGACAAATAAGCCGTTGGCATACCACATAATCCCATTCATGAAAAACATGCTGTTTCATAATCCCGTTCTCTGCAAGAGGTTTAGTCTAACAGGCAAATTCAAGCCAACTGGTAGATCTGCTGAATGGAATATCCACACAATGAGAGAGCTCATTATAGTTTAGTTAGACAAACCGCACGCTAGCGTTTTGGAATGCATTCAAACGTTTTCAAACGCACGTCAGTGAGTCCAACACCCAACATCACCTCCGACCTTTGCCTTCACCAAGCTTGTGTTGTACTCTCTTTCTCTGTGTTAACCTCAATATTTCCCGGAGAAGGCCAGTTTGTTGACATGGCATTGGGGAGGCCTTCATCCAGCAGTAGTTTATCGAAGGGATGCAACGTCACGTGCCTCTTTTTTCAACGTTGTAAATTACGGTTATAGACTTACAGTAATCATAGTCATTCATAATTGAATACAGATGGCTGGAAAGTTAAGGCTTAAGATACATGAGCAAAACAAAAGTAATGCACAGCAAGTGCGCTCAACAAAGAATATTTCCTTAAGGGGCACAACTGCAAAACAAATCAGACCGTCTATGCCGAGAGGCTACCCGAGCTACCTTAATTACTGAAGGTGGACCGGGATATGAAAGTGATTAAAGCAGCGAGCTTCAGCAGCGTGGAGTGCTGATGGTAAACTTAACCTGATCGTTATGTTCCAGTGCAGGTTCTATTAATCGCGGTACTGAAAATAACTGTAAAGTTAATCATCGTGATACTGCAGTGTATACCTAGCGAACATTGCAATTGTACGAGTTTACAGCACTTTTATTAGTTACAGCCCTATCTATCTACCTATCTATCCACTGGTGGATGCAAGCCTTCCCAGCTGTGTTGCGCATGGGATGGGTTATTTGACCACACTTCACCACGCTGGTCAGTGCGCGTTGATGATGGGCCGAACGCCAGTTAAGATGATAATTTACCGCTAATTTTCGCCGTGACTAGGAATGGAACTTAGATTCCTGGCATCAGTGCCGTGTGATAACCACTGTGCCACCGGTCCACCCCAAAACTACGTACTATATATGTTTTTTAATGTCACCAGGGTTTATATATGACGCGAATTTATTGAATGAGAGGTGCGCCTACTACCGCGTTGTATCTAAAAATACAGATTCCCTCCATCCCCACTACAGGCGTAATAGACTGTTGCGGCAAGCGCTGTTAGCGAGTACCTATTAAGGCCAACATGGCACACAATGAGGGTGGGTGTCCAGCACCATGCCCGGCCGCCTTCAACCCCCCCCCCCCCCCCCCTGTGCTGATGTTTGCACCCCGCAAGCAAGTACTGTACTCCTCTGAGGCTGAGTCGATCTAGGAGGAGGCGGAGCAGCGGCTCAGATTACCGTCACCGATGTTGGCCATGAGCGGGGGAATCTAACTCGGGTGGCCGGGTTCGCAGCGCAACGTAGCGCTAACCACGACGCTGCCGCTCCGCACGCGTGTGTGGTTCACACACACACACTGTGCCACACGGTGACATTGGTATTCCGAGTCCTGCCTCTACGCCTCTCACCGCGACGTGTGGATGGATGTATCTTACCCTCGCTCACTCGACGCACGCACAGCGGCAGATGCGCTTGCTGGCTCGTGCACCAGGCTCTGCTACATTACACGTAACACACGGGCATATTTTTTTTGTTGGTTGCGTTTATTCTACAGCACGTGGCTTCATTTCTCGTGGAATGCTTTGCGAGGCCAGCCTCCCTCCACCCCCTCCCCTCCCCCCCCAACTGCTGCGAGACAACCCCCGCTTCCCGTGCGGTGAAATCATTTTCCGGAGCTCAGCCCCGGCCGGACTTGCTCCGGTTAAAATCACAAGCCCCAGATTGTCAGCACCCCATCCGCTGGCCCTGACAAACTCCGAAGTGTTTGTTGGTATTGTGCCCGAATGTTAACGTCGCGGGAGAATCGGGCGAAATGTGTCCCCGCCTCTTCAAAAAACGATCCATCCCGCGCACTCCGATGCAGAGACGGGGCTCGAATGCAGAATGTCAGTTCCCGCGGGGAGATTCAAACATCGCGGTACAGATGTTGCCTCTCGAAAGCGGCATGACTTGAAGCATATTTGTCATAGCCATTGAGTCTCACGCTGTGGTGTCCTTGATATATTAAAACTGTGCGACTGAATTGGCGGGCGCTCAGGGTAGAGAGTGGTGATGCCATGGAGAGCACACTGCCGCGATATGTTATTATTTACCTAACCGATGCTGGGTAGGTGACCCCACTGGTACTCACTCGGGTGGTTAAGTATGGGGGGGGGGTGAGATGACAACCCCCCAGTGCAATGACGAACTCGGCATGAGCGAAACCTGCATCCGGCAAGCGGCCTGCTAATTATATTACAGCTCACACATTAATTACTCAACATTAAATGCTGGTAAGTCTCACAACACAAACCAACATATATTCACTTGGGGTCGTAGATGGCTGTACTAAAAAAAAAAAATGTATCGCCGTGCTGTGTTGACATATGGAGGAGTGTACACTTGGAGAGGTGCAGCGTGGCGCTTCTGCGTGTGATGAGTTGGGAAACAGCAGCAGTAGTAGCGGCGGCGGCGGCTGTGCGAGAATGCCAATTGTGGTCGACACTGTGTCGGTCCACAGCCGTCGTGTAAAGACGTGCACAACCAAGACTCCGGCGGGCTCGTATATAGGCTACTGTATGCCGTAGTGCCCCTCCATCCCTTCCCGGCTCCATCCCTGCTTTGTATAATTAACACGCAGTGGCAATCAATAAGGCACAAGGCACGCGAGCCGCGCACGATGAGCGCACATTATTTTTTTGACGCACGCACGTACTGCAATTGCGCACATATACATGCACAATGTTTGCATACAGAACGTTACAATTGATGCTCACACACACACACACACAGCCGTGTAGTTATTAAATCATGTATGTAGATTGTGTGTGTGTGTGCGTGTTCTTGAGACGCTGTGGGGGAAAAAATGATCGGGCTCCGCGATCCGGAGCGCAGCGCACCGTGAGATGCGTCCTCCATCACAATGGCTCCTCGTCTCATCCAGCACGGCCTCCTCCCTCCAATGGATGCACAATGCGGTTCTCAGATCCCTCCCACCCTCCGCCCGAGCCTGGCTCCTCCTGCTGTGGTGGTGGTGGTGGGGCAGTGATTCCCTCATTCCTCCCGACCCCCCCCCCCCCCTCTTTCGCCCCATCGCCCATCCGTCCCATCCAAGCCACTGCCCCCGCCTCCATCCCCTTGTCTCTCCCTCCCCACACACGCCAGCCACAGCTCCCACCCACCCGACAACCATCCCGCCCGCCCCTAGCTTATCTCAAGTGCGGCTCGTTTCTAGCGGAGTTCAGTGCGGGACGGGGCGTGCATCCCGCGCCGAGTTGCGTCGTCCACACCGGGAATTGGTCCCATGCAACGTCGACTGAGCTGCAGCGACTTAAAGCATCGCCGTAATCATTATCATCGCCAGATACCACTGTGTGGTGTGTGTGTGTGTTTGCATCGATATAAACACAATCAGCCGCAATGGGTCAGTAGGCTTCATTTAATTGCTAAGGCGTAAGAAGATTTCGTCCGAGCGCTTTGCGGCGGGGCGATGGAGTGACTTGGGATAAAGCGCTCCATCTGATCGTCGAGAAGGAAGCGCGGAAGCGCGGAAGGACTGACAGAAGCACACGAGGAAGAGACACAGACGCGAGCTCGGGCAAACAGGAGCGCGGCGCTTGCGTGGTAGGGGGGGGGGGGGTGTTTGCCTGAAGCTCCTCGCATCTCATCCTGCACCGCTCCTCGCCACAGCGCCACAGTCCCTGCTCCTCGCCTCCTCGGCTCGGTGTTTCTGCTCTCCGAGGGGTAAGTTGTGCGATAGACGCGTGCCAACATCTGCCTCCAATTGATGCGCTCGCGGCTGGCGATGCAGCCGACGTTCGTGATGTTCCGAGACAATTGTCCCTCCACTGTGCGCGCGTGCGTGCGCGTTTGCGCTCCGTGCACATTTGCACCTTAAGGTGCACCTAGCCTGGCACAAGCGCCGTGAATGACGTCTTCGCCACTTAGTGGCGAGCGGCGGTTGTTGTTGTTTTGCTCCGTGATGGAGAGTTGTGTGTGTGGGGTTTTTTTCTTTAAGCTTCGTGCCAACCCATGCTGTGAAATCCGACTGTCAATCCGAATGCTTGTCTATGCATAAGTGCCTGGGTGCCAGTTTGTGTGGCAGTGCTTATTGTTGTTATGTGTGTGTGTGCGTTACTAAATCCTATTCTTTAGATTTGCGTGTTTGTGCCTTCTGATGATGTTTGTGTGCGCGTATGCATGGGTAAGGCGTACGTGTGTGCGTGTGTATGTAGGGGAGCGGTAGTGTGACGGTTAGCGCGCAGCGCTACGAACCTGGCCACCCGAGTTCAATTCTCACTCACGGCCAACACCAAGTGACGATTATCGGAACCGGTGCTGGGCCTCCTCTAGGTCGACTCAGCCTCAAACGAGTACCCGGTGCGATGTGTGAACATCGCCACTAAGGGAGACAAAGGCGGTCGGGAGTGGTGCTGGCCACCCCACCCCCGTCGTGTGCCGTGCCAGCCTTTCATAGGTGCTCGCAAACAGCACTTGCCCCAACAGTCTGTTAAGGTTATCCGGGGGATCTTTGTCTTTGTTTTTGAATGCTCTGTCTTCACTGTACTTAAATACCCCCTGCGTCCGTTCACAGTGTTGTATGTGAGAAGCCTGCAAACATCCATGGGCGGCGTAGCTGCCTTTGGTGGGTCCAAATAATGGGCTGTTCTGATGATTTGTTCTCTGCATGAGCTGCTCTTAGTCAGAGCCGGCAAAGTGAGAAGCGATTGAAATAAGAGAGGGGTTAAAAATAAATTGCAATCATTGATTAATGAGGCAAAAAAAGCAATCTTAGCAATTTCTCAATCATCGTATACAATATCGCCAGCATTTGAAATGGTAATTTACGTCATTTTAATCGAGGCAATAATTTCTCCCCAAGTTTTTTTTTTGTTACACTAAATTCTGACGGCGTGATACGCTGCATACTAAAAGCTTTCAATTGAATTGAGTAAACAGCCCAAATACGCCATTTAACAGCAAATCAATATCGTTTTGCACCTGAAGTCATTTTTATTTAAAACAAAGTGGGGGCAGATCTTGTCTCGCGTCAAACGAGCAACAACATCAGGAAAACACAACCATGAAAATGTTAAGTTGACCGCTAATTAATAAATTCTGCGGTCTTATAGAACATCCGTGTGAAATGGAGGATGACATTTGGAAACTGCCCACGTGTGATGTGAGTGGATACAACAGGCGCACACCTCAACAATATTCTCGGTGTCAGAGTTCATGCCTTGAAAACCACCTTGGGTCAAGTTACAATGTCCACGTGCATAATTGTGCGTCACAATCGCCACGGGTCATCAATTACATCTTCACGACTAGTATACGTGTGTGTGTGTCTACACTCTTCACCTGGGCTTGTTGGTGTACAGTAAGCAAGTAAGTCATAATGGCTACAGGGTGTGCACCCAGGGTGTTGACAATAACTGTTTGAGCCCTCTTTTTGTAAGACACGATTATAAGGTCCGCATTACATGGGCACTTAAATCGTACAGCCTCTTTATAAGTGGGATAATTGGCGTGGGTATGGGTGGGACTTAATTTAAAATCCCAAAATCACCAAATGCAACGATTCATATGTTTATGTGACGACTTTAGATCCGTATTATACCTATTTAATTTTAATTACGCTGTTCAAGCTTGACACAACAAAACTACTAAACTGTGCCCGACTCCCAGCGGTGGGCCATTGTTTTGTCGAGAATTTAAAAGAAAAACAAGAAAATCTTAACATATAAAATTGCTCTATAATAACCGCCAGTTACTTCACCTGGTAGCACAAAAAAAACAAATAAACCCGTGATCGTCACACTCATTTCGGGGGTAATGCCCCACAGAGAGCGGCGCTACAATTAGGACAAGCTTGTGTCCCATGTGATTCATGAAAAATCAACGTTATTAGCTCGCAGTAGATTATTACCGTGTTTGAGTCTGCCCTAGTGGCAATGAAGGTAAAGGCAGTCGGTTCACACGTGGGCTGCGAAAGCCCCCGAGATTAATCCCTGCAGGATATCATCAAAACCACAGCAAAGATTCATGTCGGTGGAGGAGATAAGGCGTGGAAGGCGTCTGTTCCCCACACGTGTTACTAGGGCATTGCCTAGCAGCGCACGATGCGAGTATCCAATCGTGTCCTTTATCTCTCCAGCCCATGGCAGCTGTGCGTTGACTGTAAAGACGCATTGTGTTGACAAATCTGGCAAATGTAACGTGGACATGCAAATAAAGAATGAAACAAACCCACCATCAAGAATAAATACTAAAACGAAACAAAAGCGACAACTCAATTGCAGTGTAGTCGTGCAACTGGCCTCTCAGTGAGTTAAGTGAATTACAGCCAAGAATGCTTTGGGACAATTCAGCACGTTTTCTTATAACGCAATGAAGGTGTGGTCTGCACCATGTGCTCAGGAAACCGTGGGGGAGGTGATCCTCTTGAGTAGCAGTTGATCGTAAAGAGTGATTGGGAAGAGGCATGGTGGTTGAGGAAAGCTGTCGACATTTTTTTAAATCACCTCAATATAGGAATCAAACTGGATCGGTCTGGATGCTGAGTCCAGCAGTGCTAGCCTTCTCGCCCAAGTCGGCTCTACAATTTAATTGAGCCAGTGAAATAAGTCATGCATTTCAATTTGAAGAGCACGGTGGCTGCCTGTTGTGGCGGAAACATTTTCAGAGCTGCAATCGGAAAGGGGAAGGGGTTGAAAAACACACAATCTCACATCTCTGGCATTAAATTACATTTACGCTGAGTGTGCATGTGACTCTGGGCGAATGGGTTACTGATGCTTGTCCGATTGGACTTTGCGCGGCACGGGACGAGAACGCATCACGACGAGCCGCGCATGACGCTCGCGAACTGGGCGAATAAATAGTGAATAGCGTTGGCCATTAGTGTATCGGCCTGCTAAGAGGGCCGGTCTTTGGGCAGATAAATAGTGGATGGGGCTGTCGACAGAAATCCGTCAGCTTGCCTAAACGCCCACCGGTGGGTCGAGGCTTCCCGATGAGCCCCGGTTCTCCGTGAGCAGCAGGTTCTCGCTCGAATTACACGCCCCCTTACAAGCCGCTCAACTTTGTACCCGCTAATTACGAGGCTGGCTTCACTTAATGGGTACCCAATTAATGCATTTGATGTGCAGATTTCCGAGATGTGACGTTAAAGTGTAAGGCGAGGGAAATGCATCTGCGGCGCGCGCGAAAAATGTGGGTCGCGGGTTTAACGCGTTGGGGAAATCATTAATCGTGCATAATCTGTGCGCATGCGGTTATACACGTGCCTTGTTTGTGTCGCATAATTCTGGCTGTTATGTGTGCCCTGATGGAGCATAACCTGTGTCATATTGCGGTATGCTGTGTTCCAGCAGGAGGGCGTTAATGTGGACATCTAATGTATCAAACAAGGCTCAACGACAGGGGCCAATGGGTTTTATTTCTTTGTAAGTGTAGCGACTCATGCATCACCCGTTGTGGTGAGGCTACGGTGTAGCCGGTAGCGCAGCGACACACGGTCCAGCAGCCGTTTGAGTTGCGTTTGTTGGCGCTTGCATTATGATGGGGGGGGGGGCGGGGTGGGGGGGGGTGCGAGCGCTCCACTGTGCGTCGTGAGACCTGGCCTCGGGCACGCCGGGCTCACGGTTATATTTGGAGGGTCGCGACTTACAAACAAACAAAAAAAGGCATTGGCGTTTAATAGCCGGCGGCCTAACCGGCGCTGCCCACTCGCGGGCAATGGATAGGCAAGCGAGTGAGCATCATCCACGGCTGTGCTTCCGAGTTAAAGATGAACCTGCGTTCGCTGACCCTTGCGGCAGAGGCTGATTTTCGCAGGACATTGAAGTCCACCCTGTTCTCGTCTGTCCAGAATGGCTTGCGTGAGCTGTAGCCTACCCACACTTTGCCCCACCGAAAAGTGATTTCCTCTCCCCCCCACCCCCCCAGATTGGATTGTTGCAATATTCCGGTTTGGCCATGAGGGGGCAGGGGAAGAGAGGCAACGCGAATAAGTTTCCACTCCCTTAAGAAGGAACCGAACACAGCTGGGCACTTGTGAGGCGGTTACTTTGGAGGTCTGATGTCTGAGCTTTATCTATACTGTATATATGTGTTTTAAAAGTATCCGGAAATGGTAATTTTGTGAAAAGTTTGAAAAGTTTCATCTCAGAGCAATGCCTGCAGAATGATGTTACTGACATTTTGCTAAATATGATTCACGACTTTGATTCCTTACAACTACCACAACAGATAACGAACCAAATCTTAAAATAGAGAAGTCAGTTCTAAAACACGAAGCGTGATTAGTATGCCGCTACTTAAACGTATGCAATGCGTGCACATGTTTCACTCGGAACAATTCCTTGCAGTTTGTATTGGCTCGCACTCTTACCGCGTGTGCACAATCATCGGGAAATTGCCAACTTCATCGGAATTCCATTCGTCTGGGGACAGTTCTGCTGTTCTTCATATCTGTTGTTGATTTTACACTTCAGTCCGGTGGGCCGCTTCTTTTTTTTTCTCGTGAGGAACCTTCATGTCCTCTGAAGCATGTCGCTCTGTGGCATAATTTATGGCGTGGGATCAGAAGCAATACATATAATAACATAATGTAAAGCTCTTCAGATGTATATCTAAAGTACTCTCCTAAAAGCCTCCCAGTCCGTCGTGTTTTTGCTTTGTTCGTGCTTTTTCTGTTTTGCATTTAGGGTTTTTCAGAACAGTTGTTTATGACCAGATTT